TGGCGGCAACTGCTTCCCATCCCTTCCGCAGACTCGACATGCCCAGAACTGGCAAATCGCGAAGATTTCTCCGCGGAAAATGCATTTGCCGTGGGGAAAATTTCTGCTGTCCGAGGGAGTGAGGAAAATGGCTCAACCTCGGATGCCGAAGCGCAGCCGACACCGCATCAAGCGAGCCCACTGATCTTCTGGCCAGTTCGCCACGATATCACCTGAGTAGCTTTTTTTTTTCACTGAACCTACTAAGGATCTATTCTTTATATAAGATACTATACCGAAAAGAATGATATAATCTTACTCTATATTGGGTACCATAGTATCCCCCTGTGGAGCATGCCTACCGTCTGCTGGATCTGTGAGAACTTCACTCCTGTGAGCACGCCCACCCGACGGGCAGGATAGGCTTCAAGCGCGGAAAACCCTTCCTGAAGCTAAAAACGCTCTAGAAATCTGTCGGTTTGGGTCACGCACGCGCAACCAAGCGAGCACCACACCGAGTTCTTCCCTTTTCGTGTTCTCAGAACAGGGTTTAGCCGGCCATTTTTCAAAGTACTTGTCTATCCAGAACATGAGGTTCCCTCTCTCAAGGAGGACTCACTCTGTGTGATATTCCCTGCTGCATCCGAGCAGCCGGAGACTTCGTGGACCTCTCCATCAATGTCCACAAACCTCGCAAGGCTCGGACTCTGGGTATTTAGAACGGTTAGAAAGGAATTCTGAGTACCCTAGACAAAGTGCTGTGCTACTATCATAGTTTGGGTGCAGAAGCTCAAGCAGAACGTTGTCCACCAAGCGTGGTACAATATGAATACGTGCAAGAGACAGATACAGGCAGTCAACGAGGACATCATCGGAAGAAACATGTCGTATCGCTTCATATTCTAGTAGTGGCAACATCAACAGAAACCGTACGTGTAGAATGTGAAAATGCAGGAAGAAGCATCAATTCTAAATGTTGTGGCAATGCAATCCGCGCAAACGCCAACCGTAAAAATTCCTTCCCCTAAGAAAATGACCTCCCCCTGATTAAGCAACCGCTTGGAGTTGGCATGTTGAGGCGCATTTGGTACAGGGTCGTTACATAGGTAGAGTTAAATTTCTATTACATGGCCAGCCGTTTTTAATCATGTCCATGTGAAATCGTATGCAAAACCAGTGTGCGCCCCGACAACTTGAGGGCCCTGATTGTGATCAAATGTTCTTAACATATTATAGTATATTATCGTATATTACAGTATATTATGGTATGTTACAGCATGTTCTAGTAGATTCCTGTATTATATAGTATGTCATAGTATATCATGATACATTATTTTGAGATATTTGTCTACGAGTTCTGTTGCATCCTAGAGGGCCGGACAATACCGCTTCGGTGATGTAGGAGATTCCTAATTCTACTTTTCCTCTATATAAGTTAGTTGAGATTCAGATTCCTTTGCAAATATCTTGTAGAATGCGTTGAGGAGCAGGAGCAACGCTTTCTAGCTAGATTGCCTGACTGCTTTGCGGAGTGTTGGATAACAACCCTGTCAAAACAATGAAAACCTGGGAAAGGGATCGCTATTTGGCTGCTTGGAAAAAGGAAAAGTTAACAATGATTAAGTCTCGGAAATTTTGGAGATCAAACATGTTCTTATTGCTCCGCACTGAAGGTCCCTAACTGCCTCACTTGACCTAAACACTAAACCCCTTAAAAAGTAATCGTACATGATGTTGGGACTCCAGGTGGAGAATTTAGCGTTGGAGAGGTTCACTATTGTGACGAGTTGACCCCTAAGGGTCCAAGTATCCAAACAATGGGGCTTGAAGTCCCAAATACTATATTCCGCAGGAATTTTGGCACCTGAAACCCTAATCTTTGGGTCTTCGGACCCATAGGATGGCGGACTGTGAGGAGATCCCATCAAGTTCTCTGCAACATCTTGAAATCTTTAGGTCCCCCTAAACCCTAAATCCGATACTCTTAAACCTAGGCCCGCTTGAAGAAATAGAAGCACAGAGAAGAGGCTAGCGATGTAAAGCATTTCACCATTTCGAAGCAGGATTTCGGGAAAACTCCCGTGTACGATGCCGAAGGAGAACTGAAAACCTAAACCCTCAGCCCTATAACCTGGACCTCACGATTGTAAAGCAAAGGCCCAAAACCCACATGAGGAGTGAGGAAAAAAGTGTTCTGCGCTTCTGGGGCTTCCTGGAAACCCTGAACCCCAAACCCTGAACCCGAAACCCCAAACCGCTCACCTGGCTCCCTCCCTCACTGGGCGGTAGACGGCCTTCAGGAGCTGATGAGCTGTGGAGGGGCGGTGAAGGGGGGAGGTTTTCCGCAGGGGTCTACAAAATGGAATAAGATTGTTGGTCCATGGCTCTCGGGATCCGTTCTACTAGAACTCGTCCAGGTCCAGGAGTCCAGGACAGAATCTTCCTAAAGGTACCCTTGCCAGACCTTGCCAACTGCTTTGTCGTTTTTGGAGTGCAAGAGGACTTGCAGGATTCATATGCTAACAGCGAGCGGGGTGCAGGCCAATGAAGTACGACCTGAAGGTAGCCTTTCCCCTCCCATGATGTGGGGACCTGGGCTCTCCCTTGAATACTTCTTGATATTAATAGGGATGATGGAAACTACTATAGTATATTAGGGTTATATTGGGATAATTTAAAATAAAATGGAAACAACTACATTATATGGTGTAGGGCCGAAAGTGTTATTTCCAGAAAGGTGTAAGGTTTTAGCTTTAGCGTCCTAAGTTCAATGCTCAGCAGTGCATACCTAGGCCACTAGCCGCTTGGGCCACCATGCATCCATGCTCAGGCACAACGCTGGTCATGTGGTTCCTGTGAAATGTTCCTACGGCCACTTGTTTGGTTGCAGGTGGACTTTTTGGCCCTTTTAGCCGGAATCGCTTCGAAACAGGTTGCTGAACAAGTATGCAAGTGGTAGTTTCCCAAAATAGGGGACCCCAATATAGACCCTAATGTACTATAATCCTAAATATGGGGACCCCCAAAAAGGGTACCCCTAATCTTGAGAAATTCCCAAGTATACAAGCTGGAGTAGAGCTTGCAATCTGACGACCTGCTGGCCATACGCGTATGATTTAAGAACAGTGAAAGCTGGTACAAGGTTTAGGGTTTAGGGTTGTACCCAACAAGATGATCCAATATGAGCTATAGTCTAAACTCCTAGTATCCCCCTTAATAACCCCTATAATAGTTCCCTATATCATCCCCTATATAACCCCCTTTTAAGGAGTTTAGACTATAGCTCATATGCATTTTGCACATTTGGCCGTCTCCTGCCTCCTGTTGAACAGCCTGCACAGGCTCCCACATTCCTTCCAGGGAAGCATGTTTCCCAGAGGGTCCAAGTACCCAATAATTAGGTACTTGGATTTTGGGTAATAGTAATTATGGTACAGGTTTTGGGTAAGTATGTGATTATTAGGTACTTGGACCCTTAGGGTTTTGATTTTGGGGGCAATGGAACCCTAAACCTTAAACCCCCAAAACCCAAAACCCTGAACCCTAAACCGCTCAGGGTCTCTGCTGACAGGACATGATTTTTTGCATCCTCCACCAGTACCCAAAACCCAAAACCCTGTCCAAACGCTTTCTCTGCTGTCCTGCTGTCCAGATGGATTGGCCTCAGTAGCACACTTGAACAAGACCCGCAATATTTCGAGCCCACATTGGGCGAACTCGGTAGCAAGAGAAATGACAGGAGATTCCAGCAGTGTCCTGGCCATACTTCAAAAGATAGAGTGTGGAGGAACTTTGGAACCGCACTTTAGGATTTGGGGCACCCTGGTGCATCTTAACCGGCCTACTTTCAAAGACTAGAGAACGCACACGAAAGTCTCTCTCAACAATGGTATTCTGCGAATTCTTTAGAATGGAATGACTGCGGCCAGATCCCATGAAACATTGGAAGAACCCCATGTTGTGTTTCGCAAGCTTTAGCTTCTTCAAATGAGAACTGAAGTGAATGCTCCCTTAAATAAAGCGCGCGATGCAGGAGGAGTCCAGGTGCCGCACCATCGTTCAGCTTCCCCGTTCCTCGAATGTACGTTGGTAAATTCATCCACTCAGATGCATGCTTGGTATGGAGAGGATTTCTGTTGAAAGAACATAGACCTCCAACCCAAAAAATGGATTAACATAGGAGCGTTCTTCTGAACCCAAAGGGTATAGTGTATACTCAGGGCCCATAGGGGTTTCCATGGAGCTACATGGATCCTTGGGGGACGAAGATCTAGTAGTGCTTGTTTTGGAAACCGAGCTAAGTAAGAATACACTCTTATAAATATATATATATGTGTGTATGTATAAAACTACACCCCAAAGGAGGATATATTCTCACTTTATATTGGGTACCATAGTATTCCCAAATTATATCCTGCTCAATTGTCACCCAGGTTCTGGCGGGCTGTTCCCAGTCTGCTGCTTTGGAACCATCCTTCGCCTGGTAGTAGCCGCCTGGGCATAGAGTTTAGGGTTTAAGGGTTGAGGTTTAGGGTTAAGAGGTTAGGGTCAAGGGTTTAGGGTTGGGGGTTTCAGGGTTTCAGGTTGAGGGTTTAGGGAAGCGATAATGATTTCCCATGAGGCAGACAGCTTTGGGACGTGTCCAACACAAGTAGCGTTTTTCGGTGGGTGAATCTAGTAAGATTATACTCCTTATATCTAGGACACTGTACCCCAACAAGAGGATATAATCTTACTCACTATTGGCGGCGATAGACTATAGTATCCCCAAATACAATACGACTCAGATGGGCGCAGAGATCCTCGATATATGCAGGCGAGTTAGAGGCATATAGGGTTTCCGTTCAAGGTTATGTGAGCTATAGTCTAGACTCCTAATTCCCCCCTTAATAACCCTTATAAGACCCACCTATATCGTCCCCTACATTACCCCCCTTCAAGGAGTTTAGACTAATAATAGGTTATGTGGGCTTTGACTCCAAGCCCCAGGGCAAAAACCCCGAAATCCTAAAGCCTACAGCCTAAGCCACATCCGGGCCTTGCGCGCTCAAAATGTCCTCGATTGGCACAGCAAACTTGTAGCCCGCTGGTGCATATCTCATCTCCGTCTCCTGAGCCTGCAGGGTAGGCGCAATAGAAAAGAGTATAATCTGAGCCACCTATCCTTCGCTCCCAGTATGAAAGACACCCGAATGCTGAGTATGTCCCCCAATTTATTGGGGGTTCCTAACTTGACTGTTTTGGGGGTTCGGGATATGTAGCTGTAAGGAAGTACCTGTGGGTGACTGAGCAACATAGCCACCGTGAAAGCCGTGGCGGCCTCAACTGGGGGCTCGAGAGTCTCGCAGCACACATGGTCCATCACCGTATGCCACTTGCCATAGTGCTGCTCGCCCTGTGAGGACCTTTCGTGTCAGTGCTGACGGAAGCAGGATTTCATGCCAAACAATCATTTCTAGAAACTAGGGTTCCTTCGCAATTCCATTTGCTCCGAATATCTGGAGAAAAATGACCGCGAAAAAAGCAACCAATCATCTTGAGAGATCCTCAAGCAGCATAGGAGTTAATGCCACTACGGCACCACGCATCGTAAGTCCGAGTCCAGGCGAGCCTGCGCACAGGCCCAACGTTAAAATACTGCTGATATGCCAGCAACCAGCAGCTGCAGCAGGAGCTAGTTGTGGTAGTGGTGTTGGTTGTGGCGGCAGCGGCAGCTAGTTACGGTGGTGATGCTGGTAACTAAGGGTAACCTAGCGATGCAAATTGCAGTGGTCAGGCAAAGTGGTCGCGGAAGTTGATAACACAACTTTTGCTGGCAGTCGCTGCACTTGCGCAGGAATGTTCACAAAACCATGCTTCCGCGGGCCTGTAGGTGCCGTTGCGGAAAAACTGAAAATTGAATCCAACGCTCTCCTGTTTGTTCATGGACCTACTTGGAGGGCTATGGGGACTTAGTAAGTAGGTAGCTAATGACTAATAACCCCTATAAGCCATGTAATGACCCCAGTTATCCCAATTACTAACCGACTTTCCAAGTCCCCATGACCCTCCAAGTACTGTAGCCAAGGTGGGACTTGCGGAGTCAGTGTAAGCGAAGCGGTACCGCTAGAGGGGTGTATGGGGGTAGTTCCAAAAAATTGGGGTCCCATTTTGCGTACCTCTCAAGATTAGGCAGATTAGGTGCCATGATATGATCTACAACCAAGAAGGGGCCCATAATTTTGAGCATAACCCATATATGGGGATTATAATCTATGAGAATCCTTCTGGAGATCCTCCAAACTTCCACTTCAGCACCAGTAGGTATGCTTGGGCATGGGAGGGCATTTGCTTGCAGAAGGGAGGCCAGCAATTGCTCTTGATACAGCCTAATTCAGCACATCATGAAACTCTGGCGTTCTCCCTTATGGAAATGATGAGAAACTTAGAATATCGTCTGGTTATTACTGGGACTTCCCCTGCCTAGCACTCACCACCCAAATATCATCCCAACTGTTTGTAGTTAAAGGTAGCCGGGGAATTATGGGTTTCTGGTATACAAATCAGGAATTCCCCCACCCTAAACCCTAAACCGTTTCAGTTTTCGTGCGAAGCCAGGCGTCCTCGAAATCTTCACCCAAGGGGCGGACGGCGCTATAGCCTGAAGACGCCGCTTTTACACAGTCAAGGGATTCCGAAAACATGTGGTCCCCTTGTTTGCTCTTGGAATAAGGAGTATACTGACTGGGGTTATACCAGCGCCCAGGGACCCCTAAACCCTAAACCGCTTCACTCTCAATCCGAAACTCGAAACCCTCAACCCAACACCCCCCCCACCCGCATTCCTCAAGCCTAAACCCTGAAATACCTCCCCCCCCCCCCAGCATGGCTATTCCAAGGCCACTTGCCGCTTAGTAGCAAAAAGCAAGGACATCCTGGTCCCTCAAGCGTTGCTTGAAGCCTAGGCTAAGGGTCTGGGGTTATTAGGGATTAGGATTAAGGGTTATGAGGGTTTAGGGTTTCGGGATTAGGGTTTAGGGCTTCAGGATGAGGATCAGGGTTTAGGGATTAGGGTTTAGGGTTATCTAATTTGGGGATTGGGGTTTAGGCTGTCTGCTGGGCACTTGTGCAGAACCCACCGCTCCAAGTAACACCAGCAGAAGCGAGAATGACGATGAAAGCCATACCGCTTGTAGATAACCAGTGCTCATTCGAAGTGGCGAAACAGGAATGAACATGGCAACCGGAGGTAACAACCATAAGAATACAGCAAACATAGCATTCACTATAGCAAGTGCGACAGCAAGCGGAGTTGCAAGGCAACCTAAGGTTCCAGCGGATCCCAGCTTCGAGTTTCAGGGCGTCGTAGAGGTAGTTTTTCCAAGGCTTGCAACTGAGGCAGGCCTTCGGCTCCGTCACATACCTTGAGTGGACTTTTAGGTAGATGTCTTTCAGTCTCTGGAAGAAATTTTGCCAAGCCCTACACGCCCGAAACCTTGTTGAATTGCAGTGGCTTGTGAAGGAACCGTACGGGGTGCAAAACTTCCTCCGTCGACCGAATGCTGAACCCTGCAGCAGGCTGTTAAGGACACAGATCCTTTTATCATCGCGGCATTGACACTGCCAAGGCGCCCCAAGATCCTGGCCTTGTCAGGGAGTTTCAGCATGCAGGCTGCAGGAGTGGCTACAAATACAAATACTTTACTTCAGTAGCAGGATGGCTCTTCTTGCCTCGTCTTACTGAAAGACCGCCCTTCCCCAACACGCACACAACTTTGAATCCCCAAACCCGAAACCAAATGTCGAACAATGCCTCTTTCGCACTAAGGCTCGCGCATGGAGATCCTGCAGACAGTCTACGCTGGGAAGGTTTTGGGGTTTAGGGTTGGTGTTGGAGTCTCGCATTAGGAAGACCGAACGCTTCTAGGTTAACAGCGATCAGGGGGTGGAAGGTTTTTGTGCAAGTCCTGAACTAAAGTGTGAAGGACCGCATATTCTTGGGGCAAGGAGGATGCAGAACTGTTGGAAATCGCTGGGCCATGGCAGTCCTTCAGCAATCCGATAGATCTACGACATTCCTGAGTGGTAAGTTGTAAGTAGACTGCAAGATGGTAGCAGTAAAAACCAGGGACCAGATGGGATTCTGAGGAAAGGACCCGTCCAATCACATATTACGAGTGTTTTGGGAACCTGCTCCTCTGCAGTTCAATCAGCATCAGACCCTCAGGAAGGAAGTCCTCCCATCCCCGCTCTCCGCTCACCACCTCTTTGCATCCCCTTGACACGAAAGAAATCGATGTCCTCATCCAGCGACGGCAACGGCGCCATGTGGCTTACACGGCTGCCTATATATACAGACTCGACACTACCAGGCCCAGTTTGTGCAAGAAGCCAACGCCGGGCGGCCAGTGTCAGAGTTGTTTTGAAGCTTCTTAGGAGGATCCCATCTTCATTAGCAACATCATCATTGTCATCATCAGCTCTGCTTGCGAGTACAATCTTATTGCTTCTGGGGCCTCAGTCTACATCCCGCAGCTGCAATGTCAGCCCATCATGCATTGTCACCGTCTGTATCCTACGCAGCGCGCACTTGCAGTTGTGGGGCTTCCCAAACGTCGCGGCATGCCCTTGCCCTTGTCCTCATCCATGCGTGACGACTAAAAACTGACTATATGACTATCCTAGTTTCATCCTGAATGGGCCCCTGCAATCCCGCTTTCAGATCCACATACTCCCAGCAACCTCGAAGGTAGCCCTACCTCTCGGTTTCCTGTTAAGGAACACACACACACATATATATATATATGCATATCTATCTATGCTTAGTTTCCTTATGATGGGTACGTAGTGAATAATATGGTCTCCTTGTTATGGTAACTTGCTGAAGTTTGAAATCCTCAAAAACAAATCTGACCCTGATGCAACCAGAGTTTACATCTCATGTTCCACGTTCTTTTTGGTAACTTACCTCCAAACCCTAAACCTTATATGTCCCCATAGACCTCGAAAAGCTTGTAAACCCTAACCCCTAAACCCCCTAAACCCCTAAACCCCCTAAACCCCCAAAAGCCTTTGAGGGAACCCAGTGGTCTGGTCCCACAAGGTGCCTTGAAGAGCTTAAAGCCGCCCTCGTCAATCTCCTCAGCAGCCGTCAGCAAGATCGCTCGCTTAAAGGGCATTGGGGTCGTATTGGGGTCATATTGGGGTCATATTGGGGTTATATTGGGGTTATATTGGGATCATATTGGGATTATATTGTATATTGGGGTTATATTGGGGTTATAAAGGGATAATGGAAAAGAACATGGAAACTACTATATTATGATAGGGTATATGTTTTAGGGTTATGGTCCCCCTTAAGTAGATAGAATGTGGGGTATATGGGCATCTTATTATAATATACCCAAAGCCATATTCTATCTACTTAAGGGGGACTATAGACCACAAGGCATTAGGGTTTAGGACCCCACCCTGAAATGGTGACTACAAAGGATAATAAGGACTATTTTAGGGTCCTCTTATACTCCTACTATACCGCTAGTACAGGAGGGGGGGGGGGCGTCCTAAGGTAAACCACATAATTGGCGGGTTTTGAGGTTTAGGGTTTAGGTTGGGATAATATGGAGGATATTACCCCAATAATGGGGAATCAATGGAAAAGAATATGGAACATGAAATGAAAACTACTAATTATTATATTCGGCCTTTTGGTGGGTACTTGTCACCAAGCTACCCGTAGTTTCATGGGCTTTACCTACAGACAGGTGGGTAATTACTACATATCATATTGCTACGAAGCTGTAGGTTATTGGGGGTGACGGGTACGATTACTAAATCAAAGCCCTAGAGTAGAAAGAGGCATCAAAAATTGACCTCAGAAGCATGACTGCGCCCTTTAAGCCATAGACCTGCGTCCAAAATACAAAATGGGCAACCACACAAAGCAAGCGCGAGAAGGAGACACCTTACTGCTGGCTTTGTTTCATGCGACGATCCGGTCTTCTCTGGCCTACTGAGAAGCTCCTACCTTGCGCTCTAACCCTTCTCTAGATTCATCCAACAACATGTAACACAAAAACAACCATCAATGATAGTAACGGTCTAAATGGACGACTGCCAGAGCGGCAGAAGCAGCAACAGGCAGTAATAGGCAACAATCACACAAATAGCGATTTCAAGACTGGAGCCGCCACTGATCACAATTAGACAGAGGATTTTGCTTGCCTCCGCAACTATCATAGCCCTAAATCCCAAACACTGAAACCTAAACCCTAAACCCTAAATCCCAAACACTCAAACCCTAAACCCTAAAGCCCTAAACCCTGTAAGAGCCCTCCAGGTGATAGACATAGGGTCCTTGGTTGGAGAACCAAGGCCCCTCACTTACGGGTTTTGGGTTTAGGGTTTAGGATGCCTGAGCACATGGCCATGCCGAAGAACGTCTGCAGGCCAACGTGGTGCCAAGGCCTGCTGCTGTCTTCATGTTAAGGGTTTCGGGTTTAGGGTTCAGGGTTTAGGAACTTACTGGTTCTTTCTAGGGAATAGGGGAATGTATTTGGGCTCTGTAGGGATACATGGAAGAGAACATGGAAACTAGTACAGTATAACACGATATGTATTGGGGGGGTTCTAATAGGGAAGAAGGGAACTTTTGATACGTAGGTATTATATTTGGATTATATTCCCTTCTTGCCTACTAAGAACCAATGAAAGAAAGTGTAACGCTTTGCCAAGACCCTCCCAGTACCCAAACATGGGGGTATAGGGCCCTAATGGTAGTAGGTGGAGGATCCAAGTATGTTCGGACCCTAAACCCCCAAAAAGCCTAACTGCCAAACAGTGATCCAGGTTCGAGGCTTATGCCTTGCAGCCATGATGGGCACACACACACCACTGACCTATTCCACAGCCACTTTAAAGATGTGAATAGCACAAAAACTACTGATAACGTGAAGGTTGCAGTAATAGCGATGATCATATTCAAAGCGTAACAGTGGCAATAACCACAATAGAAAGTTGCGGCTATGGACCTCATGTTGTTGTTGCACATAGACGCATCATCGGAAAGCATCGGCAAACCTTCAGAGGTATCTATGTTACCTCCTGTGCCCAGACAACCTTTTTCTCTAAAGGCATCTGAAGAAAACTATCTGAATGCTCTCTTCCTACAACTGAGCTCCTGCTCCAGCATGCGCTTATTCTGAACACATGGAAGGGGACCTTGAGACAAGGCCACACCATCAGGGGCCCTTACAATAGGAAGCCCTGAGACTCACCGTCAAGAACAACTGGGTTGCTGTTAAGGAACTTAAATTAAGTTACCATAATGGGTATATATAGTAAATAATAGGGTTTCCCCAATATAGTAACTCAATTTAAGTTCCGTAACAGCAACCCAGAACAATAGGAAGCCCTGAGACTCGCCGTCAAGAACAAGCTGGGTTTCAGGCCCCTCCGGTACGTTGTTCAGGCGCCGCAGAAGCCTGCAGCATAATGACAACCAGGGGTCCCTTTTTGTGGTTTAGGGTTTAAGGCTTGTTCATGGCTTATGTCGGCATGATATGCTTGTTGGGTGAGATCTTGATAAGGGTTCTACAAGAAGCGCATAGAGAGTTCATTTCCACGGGGGCATCGTTGTAGATTCTATCTGTCCTTTCCGCAGAAAATGGACCCACCCACTAAGGTTTCTGAGGAACCCCTCTTGAAACAACCCGAGCCACAAACCCGATAGTGCGATTTAGAGTTAATGGTTCATGTTTTTGGGATTTTACCTAGGGTTTATGGCTTTGGGTGTCCGATTTACCGAGCAGCTACAAAATACGGCGCAAAGGGCCCTCGACAGCCGGCCTGCACGCTCTGTCCATCTGCCCCAAGGAGCACGTGTCCAAGAACTGGGCATTTAGGGGCTTAGGGTTTGTGGGCTTAGGGCTTAGAGCGAGACATTCGGGTGCAGGCCAAGTCAGTAGGGATCTTGATTCTACCCATGACAAATGGTACTTGCACTCCAGTTTAGGGAACGTTCGCTACCCTATTAATGAATATTTCCTATATATAGTCCCAGAATACATATCATAGGGGAATGACTACTAGTAGATATGATTATAGGCTGTAGATTGTTTGATGTTTAGGATTTTGCAACACCCTGCGCAGGATGCATTATGCAGACTAGGGTTATAGGAGGGCTTACAAATCTGTCTTCAGTATCCGAAGATTTCAAGTCTGGGGGCCTTCTGCGACAGGGAATGAGTATGACATCAAATTTCACTGACTAGCAACATACGTTTTCAAACAAGCGCCACTTCGACACTTCTTCTGAAAGAAGATTGAGGGGCCGCCCGAGTTATTTTCAGCAACCACGTCTTGACGACAGAGAAGCTGGTCGGAGAGAGAGAGAAAGAGGAGCCCATTACCTGACTTAAATCAAGTAGTTTTGTATCATCCTAGACCCTCCATGTACCCTCTATATACCCTAAATAGGGACCATGTACCCTTATTTAAGGGGCACAAGGAGGGTCCTGGATGTTGCAAGGGGCATACTAACAACAAGAGTGTCTCCGGCATCTCAGGGCTCCGTATCGTGAGCCTTTCGAGCTACAATGTTCCACATGCTGCTCAACAGTAGGCCTGTTGCTGACTGGTAGTTAATGTGAAATAAGGGAATATAATCCCTATGTAATTGATTCCCTGATTCCCTTACTAAGAGCAAGTACGTAAGTTTGTCATATGGAATGCCTTTGGCCTTTGGCTCGTCAATGCACCTTTTGTCACCGCAAGCTCCTGGTCCTGTCGCAAGATACGTCTTCGTCGCGAGTCGTGACTTCTACTACGACCGGCTACCATTCCAAGAAGGGCAACCTTCTGGGGAAAAGCAAAAGGCCCCGAATCCAATTATCAAGCGCTCTACCATGAATCCAATCCCTAAACCCCAAACAGAAATCCTAACCTTCAGGCCCATATGAGGGTTTCCAGAAAGTAGGGGAGCCCCCGTGCGGAATTGCAAAATGTTGTGCTCGTATTTCATGGGAACTCTCATATCATGCACCGGCAAGGCTCCCGCTGCTGCGATGCCCATGTAAGGCCCAGAGGACAATGCTGCCAAGGGAAATGGACCATAAACTGCACCTGGGAATCTAAGGCTAGAAGTATGGCTTAGGCCTTTTAGGGTGGTTCTAGGGACCTTTAAGGGTACTTAGAGGGAAGTGGTCTTCTTGGTTGTTGTTCAGGGCTTGGGGGTTGGGGCTTGGGGGTTGGGGTTGCAGCAAGACTCCAAGTTCTTCTGAAGTGCCATAGGGGGTCCATGAACAGGGGGCTCATACATAGATCCTACC